TATATATATAAACATGAAAATGTTTGTTTGAGTGTGATGGGGGATGTAAAGGTCATGGATGTTTCACTCAAATTGATATAGAACCATGTATGTGAAGACAAGAGTCTTTCTGTCTACTCAGAGAGGAGCCTGATAACTGAAAACTTATAGTTGATCAACTTTGAAACCTTAAACTACTGTGAGCTGTGAAGCGGAGGTCATCTTGACCTCTCCTCTGTTTGATAACGGGTATTTAAGCTGATTTTTTTCGCTGTGAGCAGACCTTTGAGATGAAGCGACATGTAACATATTGATGCTTGTATTTCCACACTGCTCCTCTCGCAAGATTAAACCTGGGCTAAAAAAGATCTTCTGGTCTTCCTTGCGTGGCTATTTATTTAATGAGGGATTTACCAATACCATTTGGTACCACAGATACCAGTTTAAGATACACATTCATCTGTTCTGGTGGGGAACGCAGACACAAATCTAAGCTTTGTCTTCACTCTGTGCCTTCCAGATGGGTAAACACATCTGAGCTGCTTGATGCTGTCAATAAACTTGATGGGGATGTGAGGATACACAATATGAATATATAAATATACATGTTTATTTATTTATGATGTCATCATTGTAAAGAAGCTGTGCAGACACCAAGAACTGGCAGCCTCTCACCTTTCTATTTGGTGAAAATCACAAACAACCCACACATCCCAGCCTTTCAACACAGGCTGCCTAAAAGGATTTTGGGAAACGTACATAACTGCCATCTGCAGAACCTAACGCTCTACAAAAAATGTGGAAAAACTAATAATGAATAACTACTGCGAAATAGTGGAAGAAAGCATGATCAAATGGCACACTAAACATACAGATGTTCTGTAGGCACTTTATCATTTTCCTTTTTATTCCGATTGTAATGACGCACTTCCGAAAAATGAGTTTGCTAATTTGCACAACTGCTTGAAACAGACACTTTATGATGCTTTCACTGTGGCTGGGAGTTTCAGATGGTGGTAAATAACACTTGGCTATTTTTGGATTCTTTACAACACACACACAAGCGTACTGTTACAACGACACTTTATTTTTACCCTTGGGATTAATAAAGTATCTTTTATTGAATTGAATTGAATTGACACTCACATATACAGATACATTTGAGACAACACAATGTTAAGTACAAACATTTATAACTAGTGCCAAGTCACATTTTAATTTTAGTAAAAAGTTTGAAAAATGTATGAGTATCTGAAAGTATCAGAAATTACCAACTAAAACTTACATTTACGTGAAAACAGCTAAAATTGGCCAAAAAAGTAGCTGAAAAAGTAGAGCAAGCGAATTAGTATAAAACAGCTGAAAAATAGCTAAAAGGCAGAAAGAAGCTTAAATTACCAGAAGGAATGTAAAGAGTGCACGTTTGATGAATCAGGCTGAAAAAAGTTTAAATGAGTACAAAAAATATGGAATTAGCTGAAAAGTTAATATTAGCATAAAAACAGCTAAATGGTAGCTAAAATAGAAAAAGCTGAAACTTTCAGAAAGAAGCCGAAAGGAGCATAACAAGCTGAAATTAGCAGAAACAAGTTAGACGAAGCACAACAATGTTGTATTTAGCAAAAATAATCTGAAAGGAGCACAAAACAGCTGAAATACAGCTGAAAGTAGATGAAAAAGTTTAAATTTGCACAAGGAAGCTGAAAGAAGCTGAACCAGAACAAAATGTGAAAGGAGCAGTAAAAGGTTGTAAAGAGATCTAAAGATTTGAAGGATGTAAAATGAGCTTAATTAATTTTCTATGAGACAAAATGTGGCAGAAAATGCTAAACATTTCAAAATGCTAAATTTGCACCAATACCAAAAGTCATAGCACCCTTCTCCTGAACGAGCTGAATGTTTTGATTTATGATTTGTTGAAATAGCACAAAAATTGTGCAACAAGAAAGATGTAGAAAAGCATACGGAAGACAAATGGATCACAATAGAGTGAATGCTTCATAAACATTTACACAATTAAAAAGATAAAAACATGAATATATGAAACAGGAGTAAATACCAAACCATGCTGAAAACAGGCATTTTGCAAATTAAGTAAATTCTTGTTGAGTTTTTTTCTTTGACAAAGAGAAAAACAACAAAACAACACAAATTAGAATAAAATGAGTTGATTGAACTTACAGTATGAAAGTGGACGACGTCCCACCAGTGGGTTTCCAGTATAAAGAGCTGGATGTCAAAATAATTCAGGAGGCGGGGGAGGACCCCCTCAGACGTCCTGCAACAAAATAAAAACACGATTTTTAAAACTTTACCTCAATATTTAATCATATATGTTGACATCAAAACAATTATAACTTGAACAGTTGCTCGGGAAGAGTCAGTTATAATTCTTAATGATGGATCTATTTTGTTGGGTTAAAAAAAAAAAAAGTTGTTTTATATTTCATTAGTAGGCTTTGAAAATGTGATGTTTTTCACATTTTACTTCATTTAGGTTATTAATTTTTGACTTTATTATTAAAGTATTTAGAACAGAAGTATCTAATTGTGGTCCTGGAGGGCCAGAGTCCTGCATGACCTTTAGGACCAGCAACAATCACCCTTCATTTAGAGAATGTCTAAACTGAGCTACTCTACGAGTTCTTTTTAAATGTCTGGTCAATAACAATAAAAGTTAACTGTTTATGTTTTTATATTTTAAGCACCTCACAGGCAACAGTGACTAACTGAACTAGAGAAATTGCATTTTCTGCAGAAGAACTTGTTGCAAAACAGCTGAAATTAGCTAAAAAATAATCTGAAATGGAGCTGAAAGGGAAGAACAAGCCTAAATCAGCAAAATAAGGCAAATAGAACGCATATTTGTTGAATTAGGTTTAAATAAGCAGAAATAAGTACAAAAATTAGGAAATTAGCTAAAAAAAAAAGTTGAACTTGGCAAAATGAATAGCTGAAAATCCAGAAAAAAGCTTAAACTATCAGAAGGAAGCGAAAATAACTGAAATGAGTTCAAAAAATGGGGAATTAGCAGAAAAAGATCAAATTTGCATCAAAAGACCTAAGTAGCCGAAATCAGAAAAAGCTGAAAGGAGCATAACAAGCTGAAATTAGCATAAATAATATAGTTATGATGAAAGTAACGAAAATTAACATGAAAAACTTTATTTTATCTGAAAACAGCTGAAATTCACAAAAAAAGCTAAAAAAAAAAAAGCTACCTGGAAAGGTAGGACAAGCTTAAATTAGCAGAAAAAAGGCAGAAAGAACAAGTTTGCCCAATTATGCTGAAAGAATGAGAAATGAGCACAAAAATAGAAAATTATCTGATAAAAGCTGAAATTAGTAACAACAGCAACAACAAAAAACAGCTGAAAGTAACTAAAACAGCAAAAATAAGCTTAAGTTACCAGAAGAAAGTGAAGAGTGTACATTTTTGCTGAATAAGGCTGAAAAGTTTAAATTATTGCAATATAAAAACAAACAAAAAAAAAACACTGGAGTTAGCTGAAAAAGCTAAAATGGGCATAAAACAGCTAAATAGTACATCTGAAATAGCAGAAAAAGCTGAAACTTAGAGAAAAAAAGCTGAAATTAGCAAAAATAAGTAGCACAAACATCAGTTAGCAGAAAAGATCTAAAAGGATCACAAAACTGCTGTAAAATAGCTGATATTAGCTGAAAGTAGTTGAATTATTATTATTATTCATTTATTTATTTTGCACAAAGAAGCTGAACCAGAACAAAATGTGAAAGAAGCAACAAAAGATTGTAAACACACCTAAAGATCGGAAGGATGTAAAATGAGCTCAATTTATTTCCTATGAGAAAAAAAGTGGCAGAAATGGCTAAAAATGTCAAAAAGCTAAAGTTGCACCAATACCAAAAGTCACAGTAGGATTGTCCTGAAAGAGCTGAACGTTTTGATTTATGATTTGTTGGAAAAAGCAACAAAAATTGTGGAACGAGAAAGATGTCAAAAACGTACGAAAGACAAACGGATCACAACAGAGTGAATGCTTCATAAGTGTCCACTCAATAATGGTGAACTGCATGTGAAAATTGTAATAAGCTATACATTTAAAATAAAGAACAGAAAGGAATATTGGACCCTATTGCTGAAATAAAATATTTTCCACTCATTATCTTCGATCATTTTTCCATCTGAACGTTTACATGTTGGTCTCCATACAGTTTTCTGCATCACTGTTATCCAGAAAAAACTCCCTTGAGCAGTTTTAAACATCCTACATGTATTTTTGGCAGAGATTTCAAACTTTCCATAAATGCCAAGCTGTTCTAATTATTCACAATGAGGCAGATGTTATCTGAAATCCATTCAGAAGTGCATGTAGTAAATTTTCCACTTTGTTTAAGAAATCAATTTCAACGGAATTCATTAACACCAGTATGCACCAGTAAGACTGAAAATCGTCCCTCAGGTTACACAAAGGAAGGCGCCGCCTTCTCTCGCTGTTGAGCAGCATTCTTCACGTTCTGGAACTAATTGGATTTCTCCACTCCAAGGATTGAAGATCGACTCTCTGGAGAATTCAAATCTCATCTGGTGGCACAACTCCAGATCGAAAAAAAAATAAAAAAAAATAAATCTAATCAGATGATGTTTGGCCTGAAGCCAATCTTTGAAACCGATTCCATTCATGAAAAAGCAACTGAGCTGCAGCAGGATCTGCACAGACATTAAATTAACATGGAGAGAGGAGGAGTAGAAACTAATGACCAGCATGTTTCCCTCCTTTGCTGGATCCTCACAAGATCTCTGAAGAGTTTGATTTTCTAAGCGCACAGAGAAAAGAGGGAAGTTCCCTCAACCGCCTTTAAATAAAATCCTTATTTTAATGGAAGCCCCCTGGCTCGTTGCACAACCTTTCCAGCAAAGTAATAGGAGCTATTACGACAAGCAGTCGCCAATTAGAAACGACACGCCTAACAAGGTCAAACAGAAGAGGATCATGGGAAAACGTAGCGCAGGAGGTGTGGATAAATGACGTATAGATGGATGGTCAACAGTGACATAACCAGGCTCTTACGGTCATTATGTCTGCAGTACAACTTGTTTAATTTAGTAAAAATTATTACAGGCAGAACAAACAGATACATGAAAACCACATCCCCAGTTGCCTCGATTGAACTGGGTCCAGTTGTCATTAAAGTTTCAGCACCAGATGCCCTAACATACTCACTCATTGATTTAACTAGTTTCAGATGACAGAACATCTCTTCAACATTCAATTCAGACATTTGAAATCTACCTACTGTACATTTATGTATCCATCAATCCATCCATTATCTTTACCCGCTTCTTCCTTTTTTTTTTTTTTTTTTTTTTTTTTTTTTTTAGGGTCGCCGGTGCCCATGTCCAGCCATCACTGTGCGAGAGGCGGGGGACACACTGGACAGTTTGCAAGTCCATCACAGGGACACAAAGACGAACGAGAAACAATCATTCACTCTCTCACTCACACCTAGAGACAATTTAGAGTTACCAATCAGCCTAACATGCATGTTTTTGGTCTGTGGGAGGAAACCGGAGTACCCGGAGAAAACTCATGCATGCACAGAGAAAACATGGAAACTCCACCCAGAAAGGCCCCAGACTGGGATTTGAACCAGGGTAACCCGCTCGCTGAGAGGCAGCAGCTCTACCAGTACCATATCCATTCATCCATTTTCTCATATTTATGGTTGGGTCATAAAAGCAACAGCTACGTAGTCAAAGCCGAGACACTGCTCTCCCCAGTTCCACCTGAAGTATCTTGAGACATTTAAGGACCAGATAGTACACATAATCTTTCCAGATAGTTCTGAGTCTGCCCCATGGTGTCCTCCCAGTGGGCCATGGCCGGAAAACCTCCAAAGGTGTGCACCACAACCTAATCAGATGTCCGAACCACTTCAACTGACTCCATTAGATGCAGATCAGCGGTGGCTCTACTCCAAGTTCCCCACCCCCAGATAATACAACTCCTTACCTTCCCCATAAAGCTAAGACCATCCATCAGAGGACGTTGCTTATACCCAGGATTTAATTTTTGGGGTTGTGATCCTTTAGCCATTGGTGAGGGTTGGATTACAGATGGACTCGTCTAGCTATCATGAAAACTGTACAATAAATTGATCCAAACATTGTGAAAAGAATAAAGTGCAAACTGTAATGTACAATTAATTGTTTGTGTTGATCTGAAAATGGCAGTTGTTGTTAGTTTTATCAAAGGAATATTCCCTTCTGCGATTGTCGCAGCAGGTTGCCCTTCCTGATGCAATCTGGGCTCAAACCTGCAACTTTAGGAATACAAGATTGTAGCAACCGAGCTACTGATAGCCCCTGAAAATGGCAGCTGAATGTCTACAATTATCAGTCAGGCTGCTTTGAGAAGCCACTTTCATTGTGACGGGGATTACAAGGGAAAAAGTAGTGATCACACAGTGGGTATTGTTCAACATTTTGTACTTGGAAACACAGGCAGTGGCTCATTCCAGGAGAACTCTGACGGGTCCGTTTTGTGAGCAAGCCCAAGAATTTTGTGACGGTGCAGACTTTGGCAAGGATTCCAAAGTTAAACTTCTAATAAAACCACCTGCTGTTCCTTCAGCTGTTCGGGAGTTGGTTTTTGTAATTAATCCACATTGTTCATTTCAGAAAAGCACTAACAAACCATCAAAGCATTGCCAATGTGTATTTATTATTTTTTCCTTTAAAAAAAAAAAAGACTCAATTTAAGTGCAAGCTTAAGACAATGAACACAAACTAGACGTTTCATTGGAGAAACCATTTGACACATCTGTATAAGAGGTTCAATTTACTTTTAAGAAATAATTTTATCAGAAAATACTCAGTAAAAAAGTTGTCAGCAGGTTTATATGTATAAATATTACATAAACATATGAATCAATTGATGGGGATGTAAAGGTCACGGATGTTTTCCACTCACTAATGTCATATTGATATAAAACCATGTGTGTGAGTTAGAGTTGATTTGTCTGAACAAAGTGGAGCCTGCCGGAGCACGGAGCCTGCACACCTGATAAACTTCAAGGCCTCTAAGCTGGAAAGCAGAGTTGTCTTGACCTTGCCTTTTCTGATAAGCGTTTAAGTTGATGCTCCTTTATGCTGTCTGCGGGCGGACCTTGTGATCCGGGCGCCGTGTGACATCTTGTATCACGGTTTTCAATTGCTGCTCCT